TAAGCAACAGAAGTGGACTAATACACCATGGCACCGTCCTGCATTCCACTACGCTATAAGATGTTTTCTCAGAATATATATGCTCTCCCCACACTTAACCCCCCTCTTTTGGAAAGAGTTTATCTTTCACTCAGTCTGCCCTGATTGTCCCTGGCCATTCAGGCCAAGAAGTGTTGCTTATCCCTTCTATTGCAGGAGAAGCCAATGAGTGACCTTCAACTTTGTGAGCCAGTCCCTTTTGTGGGCCTATATCTTCAGCTTTTACTTTTCAGGAGGCATCATCCATTGCTGTTCTGGGGAAAAGGGACACACTCTATCATTAGGTGATCAGGAAATGGAAGAAATGAGAAAAGATTGAAAATGAGGGGGTCAACCACTTTGTGAAACTTACACGTAAAAAGAGTTCAGCTGCCTGGAAAACAGTAAAGAGAAAGCATATTTGACCAGGAGAAAAAGCTTGAGACTTTGGGCAGGGGCCATTGGTTTGCTAGGGGATAACTGTGCTGTTTTAATGCCTGCCTGCTGGGGATTCAGGGTAGGGCAATGGATCAGAAATGGGAAGGAGAGCCACAGTTTCTGAGTTTGGACAGAAACATCCCATAGAGGGTGCTCTTACATAACTGACTGCTATGTTGTTAATTTCTGAACTCCCACAGCCCACCACCCTGGCAGGGGATGGGAAACAACTGAGGCACATGTTAACATTAACATCCCAACCAGCTCAAAACAAAGCAAACTTTTGGTGTCTGGATTGAAGTTTCTTTTGCCTTTGCAGGAAAAGGGTGGAATTAGTGTGAATGTCAAGTTGTGTGCTACACAGCTGCTGTAGCCTTCACACTGTAAGACAGAAAGATCACCTTATTCTGCTGATGTTAAAAAAGTCTCAGGCAACTGACAGGTTTAAGAACATTAAATCCCTCAGGAAATTTTTCAGATATTTCTAACACAGAATGGTGGAGGGGAAAGGGATAGAGAAAGAAAGAGTGAAAAGGAGAAAGAGATAGATAAGGAACTGAAAGAAAATTCAGTGTCAGAGGCAGGGATTCTGGAAGGTCATGCCTGAATAGGTCATTTAGTATTGGATTTCACAATCCCCTGGGTTACTGTGGTTTAGCATTTGGGAGCCATAATATGCACAGTGTATACTTAGATCCCTGCCCCAAGTTTAGAGTCTAAAGGAGTAATATTTAATAGTAATTACATTTCATAGAATTATGGATATACTAATTGATCCAATAATGTGTCAAGGGTAGGGATATGGGTGCTGTTCATTCTGGGTGCAGACTATAGAAGACTCATTGCAGAGATTTTAAGAATAATATAAAACGTCCAGCACTTCTAAAGAATGCCAGTGATGAGACACTCCTATCACCGAAAATATGTCACTGATTTAAGTTCTAAACAATCGATGTGGTTCCTCTTGAGCTAATTATTTTTTACATCTTTATCGAGATATAATTCACATACCATAAAATTCACTTATTTTATAGTACAGAATTCAATGGTTTCTAGTATACTCACAGAGTTGTGCAGTCATCTCTGTAATCTCAGTTTAGAACATTTTCATCACCTGTTGAGTTTTAGTAATACGTATGTAAGCTTCTAATTAGTGCATTTTTATTACTAACCCTTTAAATACGTATGTAAGCTTCTAATTAGTGCATTTTTATTACTAACCCTTTAGTAGCTTTGCAT